AGAATCAGTGTAACACGAACAAATCTTTATCTCCCCCGCCCCTGGTCTGTTAGACACCTAAGGCTATAGGAAATAGCTTGATGACCTAGAGATACGTGACCACTGGTACAACTAGTGGTGTGAGATATGAATAATAATAATAATAATAATAATAATAATAATAATAATAATAATAATAAACATATTTTATTCATAACAATTCTCACTTTTAAAATCCTATTTACAATTAATTCACTTAAAAAAACTGTTTCGTTAAAACACTCTTTACAATTCCTTTCGTTAAAAAAAACACTTAGTTTTGATTAGAAAAAAAATTCATTTCACTAAACAAAAATTATTCAAATTAAGAACATTTTATTTCAATTAAAACAATTCATTTCGATTAAAAAAAGAAGAAACTATCTTCAAGGTCAATTGCATTCTTACTAAGATAATCACTAAAAAAAACAATCACTAAAAAGGGAGAAAATTAAATAATAATAATAATAATAATAATAATAATAATAATAATAGTAATATTAATAGCCAGAAACGCATATACAGTATAGTTCATTTCCAGCTCTAGCTTGCAGACCACGCTTTTGAATCCCATTCCTTTCAGATAAATCAGCGTTAGAGATAACAGGTATTTTTTTATCATAATGTTTATTAGCCTTGTGACTACAATAGTGCAATTGGTGGACAGCTTAAAGTTAGATTTAAAAAGTACCTAGCCTGCCAGCGGTGTTGCACTCGTCGTGCAGTAGCGACTAGAGACACTAGACATGTACTAGCTTAGACCGAGAGTGCACTATCAAAGATTGGTGTCGCAAGCGCAATATCAGACGGTAGCAGGATTTTCTACATGTAATTAGGGGCCGGCCATTTGACTTTGACCAGCGTATGGGTGATTTCATGGGTTTGCGTAAGATTTTTTTTTCCCCAAACCTCTGGTGATAGAATATTTTTCCCTGACATACAAAGCTATTGTATGGCAGGTATTTCCTAAAAAGACTTTTTTGTACTCAAAATCAGACTTCAGGATATTTTTTTCTGAAATCACCTATACCACCCCCTGCTCAAAAGTCAAATGATCAACCCCTTATAAGCTCTTTGCACACTATAGGCCATATTAGCGTGTTGCATAATCAATGCGAAACGCATTAGGGACCGGTAATTATTTATCCCCTGGGGATCAGTCTTAACTGAGAACCCAAAGGGGGGATCGCTGAAAACTTTGGAAGGATTCAGAGGGGGGACCACTCAAATTTGCTTGGAAAATGAAGACATGTGGTAGGTGGGGCGGGGGGGGATCGTGAAAGTGTGAAAGTCATCAAAAGTTATTAGGCGGGATCACTTCCGGGAAGTAACATTCAAAGGGGAGATCGGCTAATATTCAACTTGTTTAGCCCCAAATCCTGCGCCCCCCCCCCCCCCCCCCGCCGAAAAAAAACAACCCCCCTTTTCTAAAAAAAAAAGGGGGGGAGGGTTGGAAATAAAAAAAAAAAAAAAAAAAAAATAAAAAAGATAAAAATAGGTGGGAAAAAAGCGGGGGGAAAAAACGAGAGGGCGGGAAAAAAAACCCACCAAAAAAAAAAAAGAAAAAAAATTTTTTTTTTTTTTCACCCTACCAACAAAA